TACTCACAGCACTAATCCTTCCTTCCCACAAGTGGCATTTCCACCACCACCACTCCTGCACCCAGCGCGGTTCCGCTCACCATCAACACCTTCCCTTGCATTTACAAGGAGTGGGTGGGTGGGGTGGAGTAACAGGGTTCTTCCCCACACTTCAGACCAGGAAGTAGCTGGCAATCTAGCACAGATGAGTAACTCAACAGTTTATTTAAATGGAACACATTGGAGCTGAGGTGTAAATAAATTTTTCTGTATTTTCAGTTTTATAACAGGCAACACAAAATGATATAAACATTTAAAAATGCAAAAATAGTGCAGAATTACTTCTGTGGTAATTCAAGACAAATGTTGGCAACCAGCAGCATTTTAAAAGCAACAACAGGAAACAGATAAGGCAAACCACTAATTTATATAGCATGGCAGAAATGCAACTAATCTACAGGCTCTTCCCTGCAAGACAGGAGAAAGATCAGTTACATACAGTCAAACTAATGTAAGGTAACTAAACTGCAGCATTTGAAAAGTAGCCTTGTATACCAGCTTCCAGAAAAAATGTAAATATAATTTGATTTCTTGCTGCATATTGCACTAACTTCTTTTATTATTTGTCTTGGCTGGTTGTTTTGTGTTTTTTTGGTTTTTTTTTTTGTATTATGTATGAGAAAATGACGTTGCTGAAGAGCTCACTTCCTTTTAAACACTGGCACCATGAAATTAGAGCTATGTTGACAGTCACCATTCCAGAAAAAAAAAATAAACAAAACAAAAGTTGTCATAGTAGTAGGACAAAATCCAACTTGGAAAAATGAAGTGAAGAGAAATACAACTATTGCAACATAAACATAAAAAAACCAAATTCATGAAGGGCATAAAGTCCCATTGTATCAAGCCCTTTAGAAAAAAAGATTTGCAACTGTATGTCCAAAACAAGTGTTAAATGACAATTCTGTAAGATCTGAGTTTAGGAGCCAGTGTGACATTTGATTCTTATTTTCCAGGTAACATAATAATATTCATTTCAAAGCAGTGATTATGAGGCAACAATCTTATATATGTGTATATATTTGTATCTGCACGTTGAAGTAGGTCACTGACAGCAATACAATTACTGAAAGGGCAACTACAAGTTCTCTGTGAACTCCTGAAGAATGGAGTTGTCAATTAAACTTAAAAAAAATATTTTACAGAGCAGTTTCATATCTGAAAAGTCATCAAGAAATACAACAAAAATGAATGAAACTTGAGTCAAATCCAGCTTTTAAATTATTCCTGTAGGAATAAAATTGTTTCTTTTTCAATCATTTGACTTGACAAGGAAAACTTATTTGGGAATGTTTTACTGATGAATCAAACTGGCCCAGACACTGTAACAAAGAATGAAATACTTTATCTTTAAAAACCCAACTAGGAACAACAATATAATTTGGAAGAATTATTAACTGCATAAGCAAGTAGCAGGACACACAAAATATGATTAAAAAACTAAACAATTTAGTTAAATTTTCAAATGCATTACAGGCTTGTTAACCTGAATTGTCTGAAGAAGTTGATGATACATGGACTCACTTAACTGTGTTTAACCCTCAAATTTTCTTCCAGAAACAGCTACCAATGACAAAGAGAAAAATACACAACGTTCAGAGATTCTCAAATATGTTACTGCCCTCTTGGGAACCTGAATGGAGGAAAACATAGAAAAAGTTTACATAATAGAAGAAAACAAAAGACAACTACGACTCTATGGCTAATATAAAGGGAAAAAAATATTGCTGTATTCCCATATCTGTATTTGCATTCTGTGCACAAAGCTTGGGTTCAGGGCATTCAAATTAAAAGTCTGCATTTTTACACAGAACAAGGAAGAATTCTTTTCATCATAAATATGTGGTATTATGCACATATATGTGCACATATATGCACAAAGGATATTTAGCCTTTCTCTTAGATCTTGGCTTTTTAAATTTAAAGCCCTCAAAATATCACAGCCAGTTGTGGTGCTGGAAGAAGGAACTTGTGTTGCAGAAATTTATTCACACCTTCTTAACCTTTGGCTGAGGTCGGGTAGCTAAACCACATTCTTAACTCTACACGAAAGTAAGACATGGAATCTTAAGATACCATTCTTTAGCATTTATAAATGGTCAACCATGCAATAAATTAAGTACTAACCTGAATCAATCCCATAGAAATGGAAAATGGACAGGATAACAGAAAAAATATTACAATAGCAACTTTTTTTTTATACTGAGGTACCAACAACCTTTTTATACTAAGGTACCAACAACTGATGTACACAGTCTAAAGGTTATTTCTCTTACTAGATTTGATTAGGCTATTTCCCCCCATCATAACAGAAACTGATTTTTCATTGAAAGATTGAACATTTTCAGAATCTTTTTTTAAGGAAACCAAATATTTTCACTACATAGGAAAGATACTATTTTAGCTTACAATTTCACACGAAGAAAGCATTTAAAAGACAGCTGTGTGGAAATTCCTGCAAAATAGCCTTCAAATTATAAGATAAATTCCTAAATGTTGGCTTGAGGGATGCACCTTTTAGAAGAAATAGTCCAATAGATCTCAGCCCAAAACTGCTGAGAATTTTTTAATATCATTCCAATCGTGTGTACTTTGTACCTTACTCTTATATTCACACAATATCCTGACAGTAATAGCAGCAAATACTTTCAGGTGAAATCCTGCTATTACTATTGTCTGTGATGAATTTTTATCTTCTCATTTGCTAAACGAAATTTGGCAACTGAAACCAAAAGTCAGTAGTATCTCACTGCAACACCAGAGCAGAACAACAGGAAGAGTTTTGCAGATCAGTGGAAAAAGCTTGGAAGCTTCAGAGTTGACATTTTTCATATGTCTGTTCTTCCACCAACAATTGCAATGCTGCAAAAGCTTATTTTAACACACATTTCTGTAGTAGTATGTGCTGTCCTTTGGAAGCTCTGCACTTCTGATTTGTCTTAGAAAACAAATTTCCCTTTCACAGTAGTTTTTGACCTTGAAAATGATAGGGTGACTTCCATTAATAAAGAACTAAGCATGGAGACTCTGAGTATTAGAATCAGCTTCTTAAAATGTTAAATACTTCTCTCACATTGCTTTATTAACACACTCCAACAAAACAAAGAAAAAAATTAGAATTATGCTGTGATTTCCTGGACAAGTCAAGAGGCTGTGCAACTTGGCACATAAGTCATAAAAACTAAGCCTTTTTGCAAGATAATTGTAAAAAATGCTTTTTTTTTTTGTCATTAATTATAGAACAAAGTCCTTTCTGCTGACTACATCACTGAATTCCAGTGTAAGGACTTCTCACAAATAAATCTTGCCGTGCAGTAAATTTGAAAACTCATGAGTTATTCCCAAGTGTTCAAATGAAAACATGCACTCTGAATGCATGTGTAGTAATACATAATAAAGGAATTTGGAGCCCAGTTTTTCAGAATCAAAACTGTAGGCAAGAGTCCAACAGCAGAAGTTGTTTTAGCTCTAGTTTTGTTTTTAAATCATCAACACCAATGAAGACCTCTTACCAGTGGGATTCTTGGAAATCATATTTTAAACACTGTATGGAAAACACTGTTTTCTCTCAGGGGTTTAAGCATTATCTACCATGATCCACTTGATGCTGTGGCATTTAACTCATAAATAACAAAAAAAAAAAAAAACAAAACCAGAGTTAAAAAAAAGTAAAGTTTTGACCATTCACAGAGACACCACTTCTGCTCATCAGTCCACAGTGAAAGCCACAGACTTTGGACCTGTGGATATCTGTGCTGATCACTAGAACAGATCACCTCTGAAGAAGGATCATGCCTGAACTGCCTGGCTTGAAGCAGGAGAGATGAAATGCTAAACCCAGGGACGGAATAGGCTGAACACCAAAGTGTGAAGGCCAGAGATGTAAAGGTGCCATCCACACCAGAGACTTTCTTTAGGAAAGGCAGACAACTGATATATTTGTTCACTATATATTTCACTTGGAAATATATCCCAATAAGGAAAGGAAGGACATGAAGTGCACCTCTGAGACAAAATGCACATTTGGCTACTTGTTATCACTTCCACTGAAGCTAAAAGTCAGGTTAAAAGATGTACAGTTTATATTTTGCATCTTTATTGCTCTTTCTATTTGCTTTCTATAATATACATTTTTCTGTGCTGCTATGTCTGTGTGACCATCTTGTTTCCATCAATATTTGAATCTGAATAAATATACTTCCATTTATCTCTAAAACAGTTAACCATATAGGCTACTCTTTCCTGCATGTTTTACTACTGATAACTTGTGATAGGCATTTGGTCCTTAAAGCTGGTGAGCTCCTCATACTATGTCCTGATGCTGTATTCTTGGTATTCAAAGGAACGTTCAAAGGACAAGCTTGATTTACCCAGCAAGAGTATTACTGACAACCACCCACAACGTGGGTTGAAATATCTCGTTACAAAACTAAATTTATTCAGTTTTTATGACAGACAATTTTGTCCTGTGGTTAGATCTTGGCAACACAAGAGCATTTAGCCACATTTCTTGTAATGATATCAAATAATATACACAGCTCCACTTTAATGGTTTTTGGTTTGAACTTCAGCTCAGATTCAAGGGAAAATTTGAAACCCACAAACCAGGCTTATTTTAGACTGAGAGAAAAATGAGCCACTCAAAGTACAAATTTATGTCAAACTCTAAGTTCTAGTAAGTACAAAATACCTTCTTTTTTAACACTGCTTGTTTCACAAAAAAAAGTACAATGCTTTATTTGCTAGTGTCCTTTGCAATTTAGTTACCTCAGTGACCTCATCAGTTTGCTCTAGAAGCCATTTCTACAGTAAAGTGATTCTTTTGTAGACAGCTGATGTGATCATCATGATCCAAAAGTGCAGGAACTATTACAGACATGTGATATTATTTTAATAAAAAGAAAATATTTTAAATTTCCAATAAACGTACCCAGAGTTTTATTTCAATGCTCCAGAACACCTTAAGTAGAAGTTTTACTTCTTTTGGCTCTCTTTAACTTTGAATAACCTTCTTCTTTCTGCTTATAAAAAGAAGACAAACAGAAAAGGGCAAAAGCCAATAAAGCAAATGAAGCAGCAATTATAAGCTAAATGTTCAACTACAAAAAATGTTTCTGAGTGAAATGCTTAGCTGAATAAGAGGTAGTTAATAACAGTTTCTGTTTTCCAATATAAATAATTTAAAGTATGCTTATAAGTAAAGTGGCTAAATAATTAGGACCATGGCTACTTTGAAAATACCCTTTACATGATACTAACCATGACTTACAAAACCAGCTATCATTTCTGATGATCAGTAATGACCAAGGCTTATTCTACAGAGATGTGTTTAGCAGTGTCCCCAATTAGTACCATCATATTTTAATTGGGGACAGGAGGGATCAGCCTAATGAGCATCAGAGAATTCATTCCAACCCCAATTAGCAGACAAGTCTCTTTCCTATTCCTGACACACCAATGAAACTCCCTGAGAGCTGTGCATCCTCCTCTCTTGAGTCCAGCAGTGGCAGCACTGCAGTGGCAGTGTGGCAGTGAGAACTTGCTGTGTCCTGACACTTCCCAAAATTAGCTTGCAGGGCTCAGGCAGGTACCTGTGCTACTCAGAGCCTGCCTGGAAAGTGAGGAATGCATGGGGCACTTGTGACTCCTGACTAGGCCAGGGCAGTGCCCCTTCCCCATTCCAACAGTGCTGCCAGGCCGGCTACAAACTTTCCATGCTCACAAGCCCTGGTGTGTCTGAGTCATTCCCAGCAGCAGGCAAAGGACTTCATTAATTCGTATTGCCGTGGAAGTCTCCCCTCAACACCCACACCCCAGGGCTTGTTATTCCTATAAACAGCTAATTTTAGTTGCTGGTTTTCTTCTCTTTGTGAGAGTGACTCTACTGCAGTGCTGGGCCTGTAACCTCTGACTGGGTTGTGGCCCTGTGGAAGGGCCTTTCCCAGCTGCAGTTGGATGGGGCCAGCTCAAGAGCAGCTGGGCTGGCGCTTCCCACACAGACTGCTCTCTTCCGTGCTGCAGCTCGAGCTCTGGGGTGTGAGTGTGTTCCTGCAGCAGGCCCCCGGGGCTGCTGCACTGGCCTTTGCTGATCTGCACACACTGTGTTCCTTTAATTACAGTTAAAACGTCCAGAACTGCCTCGTACTTGGCTTTAAAAGCATAACAAAACAAAAAGTCATTTCTACAGAATGTTGCTAAATCAAAGTCCTTGAGATGAAAAACTCACAGAGCCACTGAGAATGCCCAGAGTTGTACTGGGCAGGATAGAACTTTTCTGCAGAATCAGAAAATCTGCTTCAGAAACAGTAACATCATTAAACATTTCAGTAGCATCTTTTGCTGGAGACAAACATTTAAAATGAACTCTGCAAGTGACAGTATCATACGCGATGGTTACTGTTACTTTTATCCTGGTTAAGGTTAATTTTATCCAGAGAGGTCAGTAAGATTTCTTAGCCTGCCCATTTTAATTGGAACATACTAAAAAATTTTAAATATCTTTTTTGTCTCCTAATTCACGTCCTTCTGGTCTGGATTAAGGAGTATATGTATTGGGGAGAGTTTACCTGTCTTCTTCTGGCACAAGTTGTCTTTACAGATGCTTCCATGTTGCTCTCCTTGACTGGCAAAGTCGGTTTTGAGGTCAGTGTTTCACATGTCAGATACTTGTTCCCTGTAATCATCTTAAAGTACAGAAGTTTATACCTTCATTAAAAAAAACACCCCACAGCATTTTGAACAAGATCTCTAACTTTTAAAATAACCTGCTTTTTCAAAAGGTGCCCTCCTCACACAAAGCTGATATGACCTACCAAATTACGTTGTAGAGATGAAAAACAAGCCCAAGACATTTTGTCCATGTACCCAATACATGGAATATCATCCTCACAAAAATTGCACTTGATAAGCCCAAGTCATTTCGTCCATGTACCCAATACATGGAATATCATCCTCACAAAAATTGCACTGAAATCAGCTCAACTATTTATTTAATTGAAATGCAGAGAGGAGCACAAAAAAAAATAGGAGGCAAAGTACTTCTAGCTGTCACCTAATCATAACTTTTACCCAAAATAGAGCTAACTTCAAAGATAGATCATCCTGCTTTAGGTCCCATTCAGTCAAGTTCTGAGAATATGGAAGGCTAACAAACCCAAAAACCTCCTTCTGCAACTTGTTCTAGTAGCTGACTAGTTGTTCTCACACAGGTTTTTTCCTCATGTCCAGACGGATTTTTTATTGTTGCAACTTGTGCTTTTTGTGAAATTGAAATTAAACTTGTATTTGCAAAACTTTGTTTGTTTAACAGCACAATGCCTTACACACAATGGCTGTTAGCACTACACAATTGATGAGGTTTGAGATTCCTTTCAGAAGGAAGGAATTATTCCATTAATATGGTTTTATATGGAGAGAGACTGAACACCAAAAAAATGTCACCATGTTAACCTCATACAGACCTCGATAAACTGCCTAAACAAAGGAAAGCTAATTACCCAACCACAAAAGTCTCAGATTAAAGAAGTGGTTTATTTCACAAAGCACAGTAAATCATCTTCCCTCCCAGAAAAAAAAAAAAGAAAAAAAAAAAAGGCAGCAGTGGGTGACATTAAGTTATATGGTAGAATTTTAGAAAACTATATTGAGAATGATGGCAGAACATGATGGAAGTCATGCTCTTTATTGCTTCATGTTGTTTTTGAACTTGTGAGAAGCAGTGAGAATGAGCCCTTTACCTGTTCAAAGTTAGGTTTGGAATGATGACTGGTTGTCTCTGCAGTACAGTCCTTAGAGTGGCATGCTGCTTTGTTGTCTTCACTTTTGGCCATGCACACTGTATCTTTGAAGACAGATTCATGAATATTTAACCCAGCTCCTCTATTTGATCTCTTTGTTTGTTGCAGTGACAAACTGGAATTTGTCATTTCACTGTCTAATTTACAAATCTGCACTTCCATTGACTGGAGTTGTTTCTCAAGAAATTGAGTAGTATTTTGACTTGTAAACTTTTTCCCCCTTCTTGCATTGGAAGTAGAAGATTCATGTGTGTTCAGACATGGACTGGTGTTTGATTTCTGAAGCACTGGCCCAACATTCTTAAGAAAGAATGGAGAATTTGCCTTTTTGTGATTAACTTCACTTGGACTCCCACCTGAAGCTGAGTTTTCAGAAAAATCAGAGTTAGTAATTTGTCCACTACACTGGGTTTTCCATCGGAATATGGGTGTACCATGTTTTGTGTGTGTTTTCATGCTCTTTACCTGAAGCACACTGCTGTCAGTAGGAGTTTTGACTGGCATATTTTGAATGTGTTTGAAAAGCTGAGTTATGCTGGATTTGTGCACAGACAGCATAGAAGACGAAACACCCACATTTTTTATTGGTGAATGCCTTTCAGCATTTTCCTTTCTCTTCCTATCTGTTTGATTTGTGATCTTTCCATTCATTTGCATCAACTTTCCTTTGAAAATTGGTATAATTTTGCTGACTTTTGGGAGCGTGGATTCAAGGGCTGAATTTACAGGTCTTCCTAAAGATTTTGCAGCTGGTAACTCTGGTACGCTTGGTATTTGCTTATTGCTCATCGATATCTCTGTTGCTTCAATGCTAACCCCTCCTGGACTCTTACTGCTACTCGAAAAATTGCTTGTTCCTGGCTCTTTGATCAAACGCTCCATCCAGTGGCTCTTTTCCGTACTGCACGGTGAAAGAATTCCAGGCAAAGTAGGTTTTCTTGGAGGAGCCTGCGATAGAGATACTACACAAACCATCTCACCGTCCAATTTCGTATGCGTAGGTTTTATTTCCTGCAACATATCAAGAGCTGCTAAATTGAATAAACTGGATTTAACGATCTGATAGTGCCACCTAATGCCTCGCTATATGGTATCAGCTTAATGCACACCACAATAAATAAGAATACAATTTTGTGGTTTGGATTAGAATGACTATATTGTAAAACAATATTTGGTTGCCACTATAAATTAAGGGGGTTTTTTAAGCCTTCCCGCGTTCTTTGTTTACAAACTATGCAAGAACATCATATTTCTCAGAAGGAAAGACTCAAATTACAGTAATTATCTTGGTTTAGTGCTTTCCAACTGGATAATGAACCCCCTTTTGAGGGGTTCTGCAGAGGGTTTGACTGACAGGGCTCTCATTTCTTAAGACTTCTAAGAGCATCTGTATTCTGAGCAAAAGACAGTTTGGATGTCTGTAAAAACTGCAGATGACACAGAGGACCCATTCTAGCTTTGATCACTGGAGAGACATAAACAGAAACTGCTTTCTGAAAGAGGATTATAGTATTTTAGAACTTCTGCAACTTTTGTCACTATTATTTGTTCAGAATTAATTACTTAATTTCTTCTTTCACACACTACTACCAAAGAAATTTGAGCCTTAGCCTTCGTCACAACCTCAAATTGTAGGAGTTTTGATTACTTGCTTCCTTTCCATCACCAGACATGGAGTAAATCTTACAGCTTGAATGTTTTAAAATGCTTATATCCACACAGTCCTCTTTTTATTTTAAAATAAATTATGATATTATTACTGCTGCTAGTAATAATAGTAATAGAATCATGAATGGTTTAGGTTGGAAGGGACCTGACAGATCATCTAGTTCCAGCCCCACTGCCATGGGCACAGACAACTTTCACCCAACCAGGTTGCTCAAAGCCCCATCCAGCCTGGCCTCGAACACTACCAGAGATGGAGAATCTACATATTTGGGCAACCTGTTCCAGTGCCTCACTACATTCACCACAAGAATTTCTTCCTAATATCTAATCCAAATCTACCCTCCGCCAGTTTAAAGTCATTCTTCCTTGTCCTGTCATTACATACCTGTGTAACAGTAACAATAGTAATACTGTTACTGTTATTATTGTTGTTATAACTGTTGTTTTTATTATTATGGAAGAGATTTGAGAAAGTTCTGGATGTAATGTAAATGTAATGTACATCCAAATGTAAAAAAAAAATATCTACAGAATTGCAAATACTGATAGCAACAAATTAATACCAAGTCTGTTTTTTAATGTATTTGTAATGTTAGTAACCACTTTACAATGGCAAATACTGGGGCTTTTACTTACATGATAATTAATAGTTACAGGACTGATAGTTTGTTGTGAAAAGCATAGTTATATGCTCCTACTGTGATCTGAATTTGATAAAGACCACTTCCTACAATGAAAAAGTATCTGCCACTAATACCTTCAAAAAGAAAGCCTTACATGCACTGAAGCCCTGGAGATTTCCTTTGTAGCATAAAGTGCTTTACTTGTCATCTTTACTGGAAATCCACACAGCTGTGAAAAATTGCTCTTCATGTCAGAAAGAAAAGTGTTCACTACACTTTCTGCATCTGTTCTGGGGAAATACTGCACTGGCTGACTTCGGATGCAACTTAAAGGGTACCTGAGTAAGTGTTCAGGGATACATAACAAGTGCCTTTACATTTCTAGAATTATTAATAATTTTTTTTAGAAGAAAACATTAGTTTGTCTAAATGGTTTGTTAAATGGTGAACAAAAGCACTTAATTCCTTATGGGTCTGAAGTTTATAAAGTTACAGGACTTCAGCACAATTAATACCACACTGACCAATAAGAGCAAAGATTACTCAATATAACTAACCCTTAGTTTAGTGTTTCCTGGCAAGAAAATTCTCTCTAAAAGCAATTTTTGTTGGTCACATTTTTGCACAGTTTTACTTTCTTTTACACCACTTCCTTTTACATCACATTTAAAGTGGCATTATCACATTTATGGAAGCCATGAAGCAAATTGTTCTACTTGACTTCCTATTATTCAATACTGGGACAGAGACTTGACTAAACATTTTGTTTTAATTTGTCTAATAAAACACTTCTCTACTGACTACTATGAAATTATGAGAGAAGGAAATGTGCACACTGAAAAATGTAAAGCAGAGCTTTGCTAGAAGTGTGAGAGGAAACATTACAAATATATTCTGAAAGGATACGTGAAGAACCTTTCCCCTATTGGTTTGAAGTAAACACTCAGGTATATTTTTGTCTCTTCAATATCCTCAGGAAGAATATATCCATACTTAGATAAACCAAAAACAAACAGGTATTAGAAGGACAAACTCAACAGGCAAAAAAAGGGAGGGAAAAATGAAAGCAGTGTATGTGTTTCTTACCAGACTCTTCCAGTGCATTTGAAAATCTTGATATGAACGGAAAGGAGATTCTGGAGGAATTATGTGGCTGATGTTTATGATCTGACCCATCTTCATGCTGTGCACAGGTAAAGAAGGGATGCTTAGAAAGGGTGTCATAAAATCCAGTTGAAAATATACTGGTCTTTTGGGGGAAAAAAAATTCTTATTGTTGGCATTCGAAGTATTTAGAGATTATATTTATGTTTTGAGGACTAATACCTTTAGCTCATAAGTTTATGACATAACAATAGCAACATTTTCTGAAGTATGGTAAAGAATAAAGTGACAACTACAAGTGACATTTCTCTTCAACACTCACTAGCAGTGAATACAAAACAAAAGCAAATATCATCATTACTTCTCTTTTATTTAATGATGAAAAATCTTAGGTAAAAATGGAGGTGGTTCAAGGCAAAGGTGGAAATATTTTTTCCTTTAAATTGACTTTCTGCTAAAATTGTATTTAAGAAAAATTGATGCTCTTGCTTACTATAAAAGTAGCATAAAGATTAGTAAAATTAAAATAGTATTTAACTTTGTAACTTATGATTTGTTGATTAATTTTTCTCATTTTCCTTAACAATCAGATAATAAAAACAACAAATTTTTGAATTTAAAACAGACTGTAAAACAGAAGTGTTCTTATCACTAGCACCAAATTCACAATTTGTAGGGCAAACATTCTGAGAAATGTTTACTTCTGTTGAAATGTGAACAGATTCCTACCTTGGCAAAACATAACACCAGTTACTTAATATGGAATGTTGCTGAATAACTGTGTTTTCATTGCTGTCAAACAGCTTTACGGTGTTTGCTGAAATATCAAAATCTGCCAGCTTAAAACAGAAAAGAAATTTTATTTGCAAATAATTCTACAGCAATACAAATTTAAAATTTTCTAAAATAATTGTGTGTCATGATACAATGAAACTTGATATATTATTATTCTTTCATCAGTTCTCACAGATTGATTATGTCAGAAGATACTCCCATCATCAAATTGCACACTATCTTGTATTAGAGCCTACATTTCCACAAGCCATGCAAGTACAAGGTTTAAAGTTTATTGAAATCAGTGAGATTAAACTTCATTTGAAATGATTTAATAAGAGTATAGAAGGAATTTCTCAAAATGAGAGCTATCTCACTTCAATACACATTTTTAAAAAGTTCAAATCAGATACCTATGCTTGACATTCTAGTAACTGTGTGTGTCACTTTCCCTAAACATGTGCAAGTATCCAAGGAACAGAATTAATGGGACATGCAGTTTCATCCTCTGAGATGTCAAAAAACACCACACTTTTTCACAATGTCAGAATTTGACTGTAAGGAACAATCAAAGACAGAGGTTTGAGAAGCATTTTATCTTTCTATAATCTGTGAAGTTTTGCATTTATTCACTGAGAAGAAAATCTGGCCATTTCTATTTTAGAAGAGTATTGAAAGGATCAAACGGGTAATAAATCCACATCATGATCTTTTCCATCATTGGTCTATATAACTGGGAACTGGCTTCTTATAGATAGCTTTAAGATTTATGATGTCCCAAGCATGTCTCAGAAGAAATCCTAGTCTTCTATTTCAACAAAAAAAGAGCTTGGATCAGAAATATTTATTTTAGAAGAAACCAGCAAGACTGACAAATATGCCCAGCACGTATGGGTATACTCACCACAGGTGGCATGGCTGTCAAAAAGGATAGTAAGTTTTCAACTTCAACCATGGTTTCTTAAACAATGTATATATTAAGCTTACAAGCAGCATAGTCCTGGCTGCTCCAATATTTTGGAAGCTGCATAGAAATTAAGCCGATTCCATGATAACCATATAAAGGGACCTTGAACATGGCACTGACAACAGTTGCTCTGTTGTTACTCAAAACTGTCCATGTACTACAGTGTGACTGAAAACTTTCTAGAAAACACTGCTAGAAGGAAATTTAGAGTCACAAAGACACTTCACTGCTATATTCTGTCAGCTTTTTGAAAGCTCTCTCAGTTTTGAATCTCAGTTTTACAATGTTTGCAAGAATGCACCAATCAGATACAATATGGATGTTATGCTTTTATAACCTGTGCAGATAGTCAATGGATATGGTTAATGTCTCAATACAATCAGAAATAAGCACTTCTATCCCCATCATGCTAAGTGAGAGTCACCTAATAGAAAAGATTAAGATTAATAAAACAAACAGTCATAGAAAATGTAACTGGCTTATACCTCGGGGGGTGGCAGCCGAATTGAGCAAGGCTCCACACTGATGCAAAGCTGTCTCTCTGACACATTGAGGTCTATAACTAAATAGGGGAAAAAAAAACAAAACCCACAATGCCCTGTTTTGAATTACAGCTCATATCTTAGGCAGAAAGCTAACACAAATTTTTATTTAAGGTAATTGTTAGTCAAAACGCTGTGTTTGAAAATCAAAAGGCTAGACTTTCTCAGCACAGAAATTAAATTAGGTGCATTTTAACTGCAAAAAATAAAAATAATAATGAATTAGTGTCATACAGTAACTCAGAAACTCAAGTCTTGCTGTGCAACTGTGTGCTTGATCCTCATATTCTTGACAAACAAACACCCATTTACAAAGCAAATGTAGTTCATATAACCATTTGCTGCACTGAGTCATTCAGCACAGTATTTTCCATCCAGGAGCTGTCAATAGAAAAGACTAAATGAGCAAGGCAAGCATTTATGGACACACCTCCAGAACTTTCAGTCAGTTCTGAGTTCTTCAACATATATCTCTGCTACAAATTTAGGCTGCAATAGCGCCAAATGTAGTTAAAGACTACATTTATACTGGAGTAAAAGTACCACTTTGTAATTTTTGCAATAGCTAACCAGCATGTTTTGTGACTCCACTTTTGTGAACAGCAAACTGTACATACTGGACAGGCACCACAGCTCATTTTCCTATCTATTATTATGCAACTTTCACATCACTTGCAAGACTCATAATTTAAGGTAAGTGCATTTAATTGCAATAATTATAACTTCAAAATGGCAAATGTCAGTCCACGGCTGTAGATTAATAGTATAAAAATTATCTTTGTGAGTAATTTTTCAAAGGTTCAGTTGAGCTGACAACTATTACAGACAGAACATCACCTGCCACCAAGAGTATTTTGACAGAAGTTATTTCAGAATGAAAACCAAAGACCCTGTGCTGGTAATACCAAGATTGTGCCAGTATGAAAGTGCTTAACTTTACCTTGCTCTCTCAATTTTACCATTAACAGAATATTGTACTTACCAACAGCATTTTGCCTTCCTGAATGAGACAAAAAGTCTTTCCCTTAATAAATAGAATAGATAGACATTATTTTCTAAACCATGTCTCAAGTCTTTAAGTGAAAAAAAGGAGAAATCACACAGTTTTGTTTCTATCACAAATGGTGAAAGTGTGTTCCCTTTAAGGAGATGAAATCCCTTATATCAATTAACTTTTCACTGATTCAGTAACATCTATAAGAAAGAGAGATATGTAAAGGTATATTAGTGGGCAGCAATCTATACATCACTTTTCCTCCTAACCCTCTGCTTCCAAAAATATTTGGTTTCATCTTGTATGCTGCATTCAGTTGACATAATTAATTGATCTATTACAAAGATAAGGAAGAAGATGAAAAGGTGAATGGCATGTCCATTCAGAATATTAACTTGAGTCATTTAACTTGGATAACAAAACAATAAAAGTGCAAATAAAGAAAAAAAGTAATAGGATAAAGGAATTAAACAATTTATTATAATGAATGAAATAATTATGGAATTTAAATGATGGAAAACAAATGCTACAACAAAGAACTGAAAACTAAATGCTTGATCCCTGACCCAAGTGAGTCAAGTACCTTGCACCAAGAGATGACCAGCCTTGTTCCACCTGGGTGCAAGCCTGGCTGTAAGGGTGTAGGAGAGACAGGTTTGGAGAAGGGCTGGAGTAACTGTTTGCGGTGCTTCCAGCTAATAACAACAGTGACAAAAAGAAATACATTTTTAGTAATTTAACAGATTTTTTTACAGACCTCAGTCAAAATTTAAGCAAATATACTGCTATTGCAACTTGGAGCCAAATCTTAGTATGTGCCACACATGTTTAGCTTTCATCTACTTTGCTTCAAGAGGAAGTTAGTACAGTATTTGATGGAGGCATTTGGATTTCACGTGCCATTAACGTGAGGTGCATGACAGCTCCAGAATGCTTTCACAGGGCTGATAACAGACTTGGGGAAAAGATAATTGAACCCTCTGGAGTACTTTACTAATGTGCAACTCCCTCCAGGCAACAGGCACAACATCTAAAGCTGACATTACCTCTGTTGTCAGAGTCAAGACCAGAGATATTTTCTGGCAGCCACAGTAGATAAATGCAGCTTTGCTCACCCAACAGCTCTACTTCTCTGCCTGTCCTGAAGAGCTTTCTCTTGACCATCAGCATTAGTCAAGAAACTAACTACAGCAGGCTAAAAAAGAATTAAGTAATACACCTCCAGAGGGATGTTTCTAATGAATCCTGCAAGGAACTGCTTGGTGTTGGGAAACCTAACAATGACAGATCACCTACACTTATCAACATAAAGCAGTTCTGTAAGGTAAGCATATTTGAACAGTGTATGTCTTACTAATCTGCATATGCATTTGCACTTCTTGGAACAAATTAAGATACACCCAGCTGGCTGTGCAAATGAATTATGAGAGCTACTGGCTTTGCTTACAATCAGTCTCCTGACTCACCAATCTTAGTGCATCCACACGTACATTCATAAACCCCATAGATGTTGCATACTAAAGATTGTAAATCATATACATAATGGTCTAAAAATATATTAGCTGTTAAGCTCAGGGGCTCAATTTCTTCTTTATGCTTTTGTTTTTTTTTCCCTGAGACTGCCCTGTGCAGGCTGGGTAAACCCAAAGGTGAATGGGGAGACAGTTCAGCTGCCTGAATATTCCCACTGGATGAAGGGCATGACACCAGCAGGAGAGCTGCAGGTCTGTCTGTGGCCCAAAGGTTGTCTCGAGATCAGTCCCCAGTGCCTCTGAGCAGGATGCCACTGCAGCAGAGAAATCTAGAGGTATTGCTCACAAACTTCTAAAAGCTATTGAGTCTGACAAAGTTTGTTTACCATGCCCCAATTCACAGGACACATTTTGTCTGTGGGGCGAATTTGTAACCCTGAAACTCGGCTTCTGTAGTGCAAACTGCAGGGCCTATGAAAAATACTCATCTCTGGCAAGAGCAATTGCAGACAAGTGTAACAGCCTAGAGAACTGTGTCATATTTCAGCACTTACAGTAGCTCCGTGTCTCTCTACATAGGCTTGACATATTCCTGATTCGTAAAATGGTATCTAAAAGGAACAATAAAAAATAAATCAAGGGTTTAATTAAATTCTGGTACAACAGTTACTTTGCCTTTTAAAATCATGCAAGTGTGTGTGTTTTAAGTGTTAAGCAAACACTTTATCCCATGTTTTAAAGGAGAAAACTAAAATTAGCTCAGGCATATAGTCTTATTTCTAGCTAAAGATACATTCACAAGCAAGACAAGTGAGCCAAAGACTGCCCAAAACAAAGCTGCAGAACTCTGCACCTGCTCCTCTCTGTGTGAATTGGGTGGTACCTTACCAATTGAGTACATTTCATTCCACAGATTGGTTCGCCACCTGAAAATGCCATTTCATCAAAAAAATGAAGGACTTAAGTTGTCCTACACCACTAACGAACAAAGAAAGAAGTCTGCTTTAAATGCAATATTTTTACTTATCCTTGATCCTCAAACAAAACACTTAGAGAAACACAACATGCATGTGTGACAAATACAATTGACCCCTAGCCATACTTTGGTTCAGACTGACCAAGAAGCAACAAGCCTCACATCCCTGGGATGAACTTGCAAGCTGGAAAGTCCCTGACTCATCTATAAGAGTGAAGGTGTCTTGAAGATCTCTTTCAAAAGATCTTTTCAAAACCCGAAAGTACAAGATAACCAAAGTACAGAAAGAGCTATCAGCACTAAATCAAAGACACCTATCTTGCCTATACTATTGATTAGAAGCCAATTACTTCCCCCTTTAATTATTAAAATCAGGATGGGCCCAATCTGAGCACTCCCTGAATGCCAGACTGTACGACAGCTGGCCTGCATGGCAGGTGACTCTGTTTTGACCAGGTACTCCTCTCAAGTTTAGAGATTTCATACTGGAAATTAAGAGAACCTTCCTTACAAAAGGTCAAGAGACCCTTTACCTTTGATCTGCAGTAAGTGGAAGTTAAGAGAATCTTCCTTACAAAAGGTCAAGAGACCCTTTACCTGTGATCCACAGTAACTGACTGAAAGCATGCTCAATTCATGCTATGAAGAATAACTAATCCATGCAGCTACTCAGATACTATAAACATTGCAGGGATAATTCCATTAGGCATGAATTGTTGACCAAGTCTGAGACAAAGATTGGATACAGCCACACATAGGCTCCAAAAAGGAATTCCAAAAATGGATCCACTCTGAACCTCACGTCTCCACAGGAGGGCCCTCTTTACTCTTTTGCACCTCTTTGAGTCATTCTAACTCAGTTTTTCTTTTCATGGTTCTTCCATGTGTAATTATAAAGGTAAACCTCGGCATCAAACTTCCTGAACCTTGTCAGAACAGTGTTAAAACTTTGCTAAATTCCATCACATCCATCAAACTCTGTAAAATTATTATTTTACCTCAGTAAAACATAATGCTGCTTCTCTCTTTTGAGTGAGGTGCACTCAGCACATCTGCAGCAGGCTGTAACTACAGATACTTATTTACACAGTGATACTGACCGCCATCACAACCGAAATTTGATCCAGGGTCCCCATAACAGGTGCAGAAAGGATGTCTTGATACAGGAATAATAACTGCCTATGAAAAAGATGAGAAAGAAATTTAAAATGTTATTTTTTTCAGCTTAAATTTATTTTTCTTACCTTTTGCAAACACAATATATTCAATTTTTAATCAGTTTCCACTGGTTCATATAATAAATTGGATTAGTCCAAGTTACTTGCTCTAGATGACCCACAATGGTCTGAGACAAAGATTACAGGCCTTTAGCACACAAATGGAGCTCTCCAAAAGTGTTCCTTTTGGCTGAATTTCTCATTTCTCCTCTTTTCTTTTAAAGGGAATAACATAATGCTTGGTGAATGCTAAGGAGCCTGCATCTGCTTTCCCAATAGTCTTTCCTTTTATTCTCAACCTATATGAAGCATCCCAGCTTTGCAGGTAAACACAGACTAATTTTAATAATTTACTAATTTGAAGTATGTGGAGTCATTAGTTTTAGCCTATGATATTTAGAACATGATAAAAATTTTGGTTTTGTTCCCCAATAGCAAGCAAGTCCCCTGCCCAAGGAAAAAAAAAAAGAAAAGCTATTTTAAACAATTTTGTACTGTTTGCCACTGATAAGAATTTTGCTGATTTTATTACAGTTAATTCTAGTATGGCTAATAAAATATTTGAATAACAACCACTAGCAGCTTCTGGAAATAATAGCCCTCAAAACTCTTTACCTGCAAGTCTTTATCTGTGTACTCCTTGCCTCAGTTTCTGGTATCTGAGAACTCAGTGTTACTGTAGCAGCACAGAGTTTTTGCAGCTCAGGCAGACTGACAAAGAACAGAGACTGGTGTCTGGTGCTATTCATGGTATGCTGTTGACTGCCCCGAAGCAGCACCTGGGTCTTAAAGTAAAAAAAATAATTCATTTTTATAAGGCAGGTAGGTATTTGTTTACAGAACTTTATATGTTATTAGGTAAAATGAATAATCAATTATCTTTTGATTAAGAATATAGAGAAAATATAACATAATTTGGTCACCTAAAACAGCTGAATATATATATATGTATTTTTTTGTGAATATAATGCGTTATACTTGAAAAAATAATTATTTGCAATAGACAAAATATTCAGAGTAAAGACAGAGACAAAAGAATACAGAGTACATGTAGGATACCTGCCATATTAACTGAGTGCATGCAATGGAACTCTGTCATTTTTGGAACTTCCTAAAAACCACAGAAAAGAACCCAAAGAACAGAATTTCAAACTAAAAATATGATTCTTTGATGCAGTACTAGCAAATTACATGTGAATGGGAATAACATGAATTCATATTACCCATCTTGTTGAGCGCCCGTGGTGTGCTCTTCTGCCCTGCAGCACAGGCCAGGCTCAGTGTAATAACAAAAAAAATCTAACATTTCATTACTTGAAGAAAAATACACCCTTTAACTGTATCACCTTTTTCAATCAAAGTATTTCAAAGCAAGACAGGTAGTTAGAAAGCTGGGAATGAACACTGCACACCAGAAAAAAAGCTGTTTTTCATATTAAAAGGTTTAATATAACTCCCGTTTCCAAAACCTAACAGGAATGAACACTGCACACCAGAAAAAAGCTGGTTTTTATATTAAAAGGTTTAATATAACTCCCGTTTCCAAAACCTAAAACAATTTTAGGAAATGGTCTCACTGGCACAGTGAGGACAGCAATAAATATTTTGATCCCAAATTTTATGAACTCACCAAGTATTCACCTGAAAAGCAATTTTGTAATTTGTGATAAAACAATTATGAAAAGGAAGCATATTTTGAGGAACAATGTCAAAGATAACTTCGCCGTTCTGATTTTCCTCTGCCTTCTTTACAGTGTAACTCTTAAAACAGATTAACCTCCATCATATCCAAGAAAAATCACAAGGCGAGTGTTTTAAACTGTCATTTAAAAGAAAATAATGCTTTCTTATTTCTTACCCTTAAAGGAAAACACATTTCAATATTTTTCAGCAGTCATGAAAAGCAGGGTTTTTTTAAATGCCAGCCAAGACTATCACTTCATCAGAGAATTCCAAAAGCTACAGCTCAAGGGAAAGCTCAATTTTTTTTAAAAAAATGAGAAAAAAATCTTGTCCTTTCATAACCATAGAAAAGAAAGCCTGAGTCCGAGGCTTTTCATTCACTCAGTTTATTGGGGGTTTTTGCAGCAGAGATGTTGTAAAACACGTGCTGCAATGCTCCAGTGTCCTGCTTGCTGTTTGAGGATGACTCCCCTGTGGGAACAGTTTGCTGTATCAAGCCTAAGTTAAATCTTCTCAGACATCTTAAAAGCTAATGGGCCAGAGTGCTTGCAAAACACTTCTCCCTTCAGGGGAGAGGATAAAGAGAAAAGCAGCAGTTAACACAGAACTGCCAGTTAAGAAAGAACTACTGGATATAAATCATCGGAAATGAACACAACGCCTTCTGTACAAGAGGATTTCACGTGTGTGGGAGAAATTGGACTTTTACGTGCCAATAATCACAGCACCTGAACCTGAAACCTGAGCTCCTGCTAAGCTGAAGGGAACATCAGTCAGGGAATGGCTATCCCTGTCTTTTCTGTCTGAACAGGCAACTAAATCCCAGAGCTCGGCAGAAGTATTTGCAATTTTCAGTAACAACCTGGAAGTTCTAATGAAGAACCTCCTCATTAAAGCTGGGAACAACACCAATCTGAGGGAGAGCAACTGCTCTTACTGTCAGGCTGACTGAAAAGCTGAGGCAGGATCTGAAGATGGTGGTGACATTCCATGAAGTAGGAAGCTGTCCTGCACTCAGGCTCAGGGTGCAGAAGTTAAGCACCAGCTCTCAGGAAGGGTGACAGGTCACACTGGGTAAATTTTAAGCTACAAAACCCCCCCCACACAAATCCAGCCTATAATCACGCCTGAGTGTGTCCATGGGGCTAATCCCTGCTGAGGCACCCAAGTTGTGCATGGATGTGATGTGGGGATGTGGGGACCCATACTGGCCTGAAATACAGACAAAGCCATGGAACGCATCTGAGACCAGAGCAAAGGAAACATATTTTACCTCAGCCAAAACCACGGGGAAACAGGATGCTGGATTGATGACCGAGAGACGGGGAAGGCACTGCTCCCTGTGCCCTCAGCCCGCCTGGCAGCAAAGCAGGGCAGTGCCACAGGGAAGCCTCGCTCCAAGCCCCGCGGGGGAGCTCTCCCAAGGCGCGGCGAGGGACGCGTGCGGCAGCCGGGAGGTTTTAAGGAGCTGTGTGGAAGCGCCTGTGGCAGGAGCGCTCCCGCCGGGATCGCCTCACGGGCTGCGCGGGAAGAGCGGCAGCCGCGCGCCTCCCGCCTTCGGGCACTGCAGCCTGCCGGGACCAGCGAGGGTGTGTGACTTCCCGGGCAGCCCCGGCCTGCTGGGACACCGGCAGGAGAGGGCAGGGTGCTGGGGCGGCCACAGCGCCGGCTAGAGCCCCGGCAGAGCCGCGTTGCGTGCGGGTGTAACTCAGCCCGCGCCCGGCGCTACGTGTGCCCATGGCAAGGGCGCTTTAGCCGGGCAGCGGCGCCAGCCGGCTTTACCACAGCGGAACCAGGATAATTCAGCTTAGATGCTAGGGAAAAAAAAAAAAATCTTTACTGCGAAGGTGCTGAGGCACTGGAACAGGCTGCCCGGGGAGCGTGAATCACATTACCACAGATTGTTAGGGCTGGAAGGGACCTCTGGAGATCATCTGGTCCAACTCCCCCGCCAAGGCAGGGTCACCTGGAGCAGCCTTCACAGGAACAGTACGGGTAGGTTTTGAATGTCTCCAGAGAGAGGGACTCCCCCCACCTCCCTGGGCAGCCCCGACCGGCCCATCCCTGCCACTCTCAATGTAAACGTCTTCATGTTAAGGTGAAACTTCTTGTTTTTCAGTTTATGGCCATTGCTCCTCATCCTGTCTAACTGAAAAGAATCTGACAGCTCCCTGAGTCTCTTCCCATAAGAAGTGCTGTAGACTCCTAAACATCTTTTTGGCCCGGTGCTGTACACTCTCCAGCAGTTCCTTATCTTTCTTGTACTGGAAGTGTTCAAGGTCAGGCTGGATCGGACTTTGAACAACCTTGTCTAGTGGTCCCCATATCAGGGGAATTGGAACTAGATGACCTAAAAGGCTCCTTCCAGCCCAAACCATCCCAATGCGGTTCTACATTGCAAGTTGGCGACTAGCTCGTCGCAGCGCACACCGCCAGCCTCACAGCCCGCTGCTGCCAAAGGTGGCGAACGCTGGCTTGGCCACCCCAGGCAGCGGACAGCAGAGAAGCGGCGACTGCAGCGCCCGGCACCGCCCCCGCCCCGCCCCGCCCGCCAGCCGCCGGTCACGTGGGACGTCAAAGTCCCGCCCCCGGCCGCCAAGATCGCCGCCAGGCTGCCCGTCTGCTTTGAGTGGCATTGCCCTCCGCCAATGAGAGGCCGGCAGAGCGGGAGGGGCGGGGCGGTGGCGGGCGGCGATAGGGCCTGCGGCGGGGCCCTGGCGCTGTGCGAGCTATCGGCCTGTGGTGCGTGCGGTGCGCGGCGGGACGGGAGCGGAGATGGTGGGCTCCAGCGAGACCGGGAAAGAGTCGTGGCGGGGCCGCTACTACCGGCTGGAGGAGGTGCAGAAGCACAACAACAGCCAGAGCACCTGGATCATCATCCACAACCGCATCTACGATGTCACCAAGTTCCTGGACGAGGTGGGTGCCCGCGTTGCCGGGACGCGGAGGGCGCCGGAGCCCCGCGGGGCGGGCTCGCTGGCGGCTGCTCGGCTCCCCGCTCCCGTGCCCCGGCCCGCGGAGCCGCCCTCGGGGCCGCGATAGCGCCCTGGAGGAGGAGCCGCGGGGCGGGCCCGGGCTCGGGCGCCTCTCGGGCAGGGGAAACCCGCGAGTGCCGCGCACCGGCTGCGCTGCCGTGCCATCCGCTGTGCGCCCGCCTGAAACTTTGGGATTTGAATTTCCAGTAAATAAGGACAAGGAGTCAGTACTGAGGGCTGAGATAGGCGGGCTGGCTGTGTGAATTTGGGTACCAAGAGTGGGGCTGAATCCGTCTGCCTCTTGCTTTGGTGTGCCAGCTGAGAACAGTTGAAAGTGAAGACTCAGCTGGGACCCAGAGCCGTGTTATCTTGGGAACTAAAGGGTCAGCAACTCCTCTCTTCACACTATTGTAGTGTGTGTTGCATTATGGTACAGGAAAGAGGCTTCACAAAGTGGAAGTTCACAGAATATCACAGATCTTGGGGGTACTCTGACAGTCACAGAATCACAAAGTAGTTTGGATTGGAAGAGGCGTTAAAGCTCAGCTCATCTCATTCCAGCCCCCTGCCAAGGGCAGTGACACCTTTCACTAGACCAGCTTGCTCCCAGCCCTGTCCTTGAACAGGTCCAGGGATGGGGCATTCCCAATTTCTCTGTGCAACTTGTGCCAATGCCTCACTCCTGCCTCTATGTAAAAAAATTCTGTATATAAGGTAAAGTGTCTTGGTCACAGTTGCTTGTGCTCCTGTCTGCCAGATTTGTACATCCTGGGTGCCCTTAAGTCCTGGGTGGTTTTTTTTGCAGGACACGGCATTACATACAGGCAGCCAGCTTCAGAAGATTAGGGCGGCTCTCACTGCTGCCCTGATCCGCTCGGTGTGGGGATGCAGTGGGGTGCTGCAAAGCTGCACCAGTTCCAACTCTAGTGCAGACACTAGAGTCAAGTTCAGTTCCTTTGGCTGTGTTTTGTTGGGCTTTTCTCTTCCTAGTTAGTGGTTGATGTTTTTGATCTCTGGCAGACAGTAGTTAGTGTAATCATTGATAGTCATGGTTGATAAAGAAGCATTTTAGGTTTTGGACTAAAACATTA